TAAATATATATATATATATATATATATATATATATATATATATATATCATATAAACAGCAATATATAGTATAAAATATATAATATGTTTATCAATTACTTTTCCATCGCCAGCTAAATGAAAACTAGCATCCGATGAATAAACAAGAAGATGTCGAGCTTTTTCTCTCCAACCGATACGTTTTGTGCAAACAATAGACTGCATTATTGCATCCAATCCACCCTCTGGTCCATCAAGATTACCCGAAATAGGAGCTGCTCGTACATTACTCTGTTAATAAATAATAAAAAGTACTTAATAAATATACATCATATAATAATAATAATAATAATAATTGTAATAGCAGAGTTAAAAATAAGATATAAATTATAATTTACCCGAAATGAATCTGAATCTTCTGTCAAAGACATTTGATGCTTATAACCGTAAGGCGGTGCGCAATCGGTTTTTTTATTGTCTTCAATAAAATCACATGGTTTTTTTAATCTTAAAAAATAATAAAAATAACAGTAAAACATATTAAGATAACAATATAAATGGCATTATAAATTTACTTGATAGGCTGGGTATCAGTCATTGGTAATGTAACTTTGTCAACAAAACTACCAAATCCAAGACGAAAATTACTAGTTAAATTTCTCATAACACTCGCCAAGTTAGCGCCCAACTCAGATAAATGTTGCCTGTAAGGCTGCATCGATGCTGAAAGATCCATTAAGTAGTACATGTCTACTGGATAATCTTCAGCTTGGGTATATCTTATTTTTAATTTATACTCTTCTCCTAATAATCATAAATATAATGTAAGTTTAAATAAATTATAATCCAGTACATTATAATTATAATATAAGTATATCTAAATAAATAATACCTTTTCGGAGATAAAGTTTTATTTTTTGTGGCTGTATTTGGACTGGTTCTCGACTCTTTATTGATGACAGTGGAATATTTTTTTCAATAACTATTTTTGATGTTTCATTTATAATATTTGAAGGATCACACCACAGTTTATTAAATTTACTTTTTGTTATACAACGAACTGACGGCTGAATATTTTTTTCCTTATCCTATAAAGATTTATTTCAATAAAAGTATATGTAAATGGATAATAAAATTAAAACAATAATAATAATAATAATAATAATAATAATAATACCATAGGAGCCGCACACCAAATACATGTTGGCGTCTGCAAACAACTGGAACACGTTTGTTGCACTGCGCATAATTGTGCATTAATATTTTCTTGATCATATTCTACTATATTATTTTTATTAGCTAATGCAATTACTGAATTATGTTCTTTTAAAGGATTTATAAACACTACTGTAACTCCAAATATAATTAAATATTTTTTATAATAATAATACATTATTTTAAATAGAACGAGAAAAAATAAAGATAAAGAAATATAATATATATAATAATCGCTATCGAGTGTTGAAAGGATACTGCGGTGGTAAAGTTTAGTTTATATGTTATTCATATAATAAAAAAAAAGTGTTATACGGAAATGATGCATACCTCATCTACAATACGCCGATAAGTCATCACTCTTTACTGATGTGACATTGTAAAATTGCGTCATCGTTTCAATAAATACCGCATTTACATATACTTATAATGATATTACTCATTTTTTCAATAGAAAAATGTTACAACGTAAAACTTGTATATATTTATATTCTGTGTTTATATAAAGTATAAAAACTTTCAATGTAATTAAATTAAATAAAAGATTAATTTTTATTGTGAATGAATCATTGAAATGATTGTAAGTAAATTATTCGCAGTTTTTATAATTTTAAATTTTGACGAGAGTTTCTAATAGAGTAGGTACATACTTATATTAGTTTATTTATTAACAATCGGTATTAACAAATACTCTTATAAAATAGTTTTAATAGTGAATAATAGGTGGCTGTAGTATCCAACTTGAATTGTTATTATTATTATTATTTTGTATATTTATTATCGTATATAAAAAACACGTGTTTTTTTTTAACTTAATTAAAGTGGATAATAAATATTTACTGTGATTGTTACTAAATATTACAATGTGGCCTAAAATAATTAACAATTTTAATAAACAATCAATATTAACAAATAATTCAGTCGTTAAAAAATATATATTTTTAACAACATCACGATATTTTTCAAATGACAATAATAATAATAATTCAGTTAAAGAAAATGAAGAAAAGTTTAAAGATGATGATAAAAATAAAAATTTATTAAATTTAATTAATGATGCGGCAAATTTTAATGAAATAACAAATAGCAGTTGGTCAACTACACCGTATAATTCAGCTGGAGATGGAATAGCATTATTGTGTAATAATAATGAAAAAAAAAGAGAAAAAATAAATCCAGAGGATAAAACTGTTTTTATATTTCCCGGTCAAGGTACATTAAAAGTTGGAGCTGTTGAAAAATATTTAAATTATCCCCGAGTTAAAAAATTATTTGATATTGGTAATGAAATATTGGGATATAATATATTGGATATTTGTTTAAATGGACCACAATCAAAGTTAAATAAAACAGAATTTAATCAACCAGCAACTATTTTAACATCACTGGCAGCATTAGAAAAAATTTGGGAAGATAATTCATTTGCTACTGAAAATTGTATTGCTGTTGCTGGTTACAGTGTTGGTGAATTAACAGCATTAATATTTTCGGGAGCACTAACTATTGAAGATGGAATAAGATTAGCTGGTATAAGAGGTGCTGGAATGCAATATGCTGTTGATCAAGAACCCAATCAAGGAATGTTAACTGTTATTTCTAAGTATAACACTAAAATAAGTAAAGCTTGTCAAGAAGCTCGTAATTTTTCAACAAATTTAGGTTTATCGTTACCTATTTGTCAAATAGCTATTTATTTGTGCAGTGAAACTAAAGTTTTAGCTGGTCATCAACAGGCTCTTGAATATATTATAAATAATTCATATAATTTAAATATTCGTAAAATATTTAAATTACCAGTAACAGGTGCATTTCATACGCCTCTAATGAAACCAGCATTAAAATCATTTGTTAAAGCACTTGATGATATTGAATTTCAAGAACCAAGAATACCTGTTTATTCTAATGTTACTGCTAAACCATATAGATCTATCAAAGATATAATTAATTTACTACCTAAACAAATTATTTCACCAGTTAAATGGGAGCAAATAATTCATGAAATATATAAAAGACCACAAGGCAATAATTTTCCACATTCGTATGATTTAGGATCTAATGGAACAATGAAAACTATATTAAGAAAAATTAATTTATCAGCATCTGACTCATGTACTTGTATATAATTACTATTATTAATATTTTTGTTCCATTACGTACAACAATAAATAAAAGTTATTCATTCTTTTCATAATAATAAACTATGTATTAAATTTAATAATAAACACAATTTTTGTACTAAAAATTAATGTCAATATTTGATAATTATTATTTTATTAATTTTAAATTTATACATCTAATGCTTTCAAGTATATTGTTATTATTATTATTTTTATTAGTTATATATTAATTATTATTTATTTATTTTATCATGTAATATAATATAATATATAATATACGTTATTTTAGCTAATATAGCTATGTATATATTTATAAATTCAATAATAGATTAGTATCATTAATATAATAATAATGATAATAATAATAATAATAATTTAAAGGCTACGAATATGTCTTGGTTTACGTACTAGTAAACAACAAGAAGATAATCCTAAACTGACTTTAGATAATTCAGATGCACAAAGTGATTTAGTCGGGAATTCTATTTTTTCAGCAAAAACTTGATATGACAGTGGAATTTCATCTTGACTACGATGAATAAGAGTACCGTTTACATAAATAACATTTACGGCTGCATCTTCTGGTACTGTCAGAGTTTGATAAGTGTAAGTAGCTTCCCTTTCAATTCTCTGTGCATAAAATATTTTTATCAATAATAATAATACTTAAATAATTATAATTAAATTACCTTTAATACTTGTTGTGATTCTTTACCGGCTCCAACACACATAACATCAGGACCAGCCATACTCACCAATCCTTTAAGTCGATAATTGTCTGGAACCTATTTATCATAATTAAAATTTTAATTTAATTTTTTTTTTTTTTTTTTGATTATTATATATACAAGTTTATGTGTGGATATATATATATATATATATATATATATATATATATATATATGTGCTTTTATTTACTTTTATTGGAACACAAGGATACTCTGGAAATGCAGCAGCAACTGCTCTAGCTCCAGCTTCATTTGTATACTGTCCAAGTCCAACAAAATATTCTCGACCTTAATTAAAATTATATTCTCAATTATTTTTTATTGATAATATTAAATAATAATGATAATAATACCTGTACCTGTAAATAAAACATCTCCTCCATCCAGTCGAGCACTTGTATCAGCTATTTCAATAAGCGAAATTTCAAGTTCTTTTTTCAATACTGCTCTAATAGTTTCAACCTATAAAATTAATCGATAATTTACATTATTCAATAACAATGTTTATTTATTAATTATTATTAAAATATAAATAAATTTTTGTTGTACTTCTTTTATTCGAGTAGAATCAATAGGATGGGCAATTAAAGCAATACCATTGCATAATACAGCAATATCCTCAACAAATCCACAAAAAGGTGCAGATTCATCAGCTGGCATTTCAACAACATCAATTCCAAGTTCTCGTAAAAGTTGTGCAAGTGCTAAATGTTGATTTCTAGCTTCCTCAACAATGACCTCGCCCTTGCTTTCTATTGCATTTGGTATTCGACATAATATTGCGTGTGTATATCTGTGTAGCGGCATTCTTTTCCTATTTATTAATATTTTTTTCTCTCTTTATATTCAACAATATACCTAAAAACAATAAAATTTTTAATTATTGTTTATTAAGTAACAATAATCATTGTTACACTCTCTTTTTTCTTAGTTTAATATAGTAAAAAATATATTATTTTTTATAAATAAATAACAACAGGAAAAATTAATTAATTAATTTATTAAGTAGTTGAGAGAACATTTATGTACCCACTTTGGTTTAAAGTTTGTCTAATATTATTATATATCTATATTTATTATTACACTATAGTAGATAAACAGGATAATATTTTATAAGTACTACTACAAACACTTTTTAGCGAGTTTCCGATATAAATAAGAATGTGAGAATGATTATTATAAGTATCTAGATTTTATAAAAATAAAAAAATACAACCTACACACAAACACACAATTTTATATGTATTTTATCAATAATAATAATAATATTAATAATTAATAATATGTCAGCTGTCAGCTGTCGGAGTCCTCTGAAAAATTATCCTGAAGATGGCGTCAACTGTTATTTCTTATTCAACTAGGTATATAGGTATATAAATACATACATTTATCTATTCAATTATTCAATATAATTATTAGACAAAATTTAATAAATACATTATTAATTATTAATTAAATGTGTAGAAAAAAAAAAATATTTTTTAAAATTACTATTTTCTTCCCTTTTTTTTTTTTTTTTGAGCCTCAGGCCAAGGAAATCCTCGACATTTTAAAACATCCATTATATTATGACAAGTGTAATATGCATTTTCCATAGCTTCATCATTAAAAATGTCCATTGTAAATCTTGATTTTCCTCCACTTTTCTTAGTTTTTTTTGTATTTTTTCCACCATTAGTGATAGTAGCCGTCGTTCCAGCTCCAGCAGTTACACCACCAGGTTTTATTATTGTATTGTTATCATCATTATTATTATTATTATTACTCTCATATCGTTTTTTACTTTTTCCTTGAGTTGTCATATTTTATTTTACACTATTATACTTCTATTCGATTATATATATATACACACCTTCAAACTTAAATTAAAAACAAAAAATATAAACATGATGATGAAAATAATATTTTTAAATATTTAAGTACTTACAATTTTTAGGTCTTTTGATTTTATTTTTTTAATATTATATATGGAATGATAAAAATAAAGTTACAAACGATTGTTTTATCAATAATATATATATATATATAATTTATTACAATGTATATATATTTTTGCGCAAGCAATAAATATATATATATATATATATATATATACATATATTTACGTATATAATAATAATGTAAAACATCATTCATTTAATTTAAAATTTTTATTTCATATTTTCGATCTTGTTTATAATATACCAACAATATAAAAATAGACAGTGTCAGTATATTTAATTAAAAGCGTTATTTGCAACACCAACACAGCAATTTAATTTTTTCGGTTAAAATTGACGCTTGCGCAATCGATTCAACTTAATATATACTATAGTCGATGTAAACGCTTTTATTATAATAATAATAATAATATTATTATTATTAGTATACCTATGCGTATATATATACACCAGCAAATAAATTGATTTAGCGGGAAATAAATACTGTTAAAATATAAAATTTATTAATAAAATTTATATTAAAAAAACAAAAGACTTGTAATAGCGGTTCAACAGAGTATTAATCTAAACACTAACAATGTCAGGTATTATAATTATTATTTATAACTATTACAATCAATTAATTTAACTATTTCTAACCTATAATTTTTTCTTTTCCATTAATTATTCGGATTTTTTTGTTATTATTTCAGATATTAAAGAATGGACAAAAGAATATTATATTGAGAATAAAGAATTGTGTGATAAAATTCTTGAATCTATTGATAATTTTGAGGGAATACCGTCACTAAATAATTTGCCATTGCACGTCCTTAAAGATGGACAGTTGGTACGTTTTTCAGGGATGATTCAAGATATGTATAATCCAGAGTTATATATGGAAAAATACCAAGTTAAAAATCTAGATACTGGAAGTGTAAATATGAGATCCGGAATGTACCAAGATATTTTAAAATGTTTGGTGAGTATATTTTTATAATATCAATAATGAATAAATTCAAAGCCTCCAAGGAGTTTTTTTTTTTTTTTTTTTTTATTTTTTTGTTCTGAGCTATGTTACAAATCATTTGACATTCCAAGCTCTATAAAATGGGGCTAAAAATAATTAATAACTACTAAAAAGCAGTACTAGGTGTGAGAAGCTAAAAGAATTGTTTTCTCATGTATGCTACGGCTTACAGATTATCATTAAAATCTATATATATATATATATATATATATATATATATATATATATATATA